CGCCCCCAGCGACGCCACCGTCTATGATGACTTTTTTTTGACATGTTTAAATATTTTGTTTCACAAGATTGAGAAATGGCTACAACTAATATGGCGAATAGCAATGTTACAAAACGCATCACAGATCCATATATATATATATATATATATATATAGGGATCTGTGATGCGTTTTGTAACATTGCTATTCGCCATATTAGTTGTAGCCATTTCTCAATCTTGTGAAACAAAATATTTAAACATGTCAAAAAAAAGTCATCATAGACGGTGGCGTCGCTGGGGGCATGTCAGCAGCCACCCGGCTGCGTCGTCTCGATGAATCAGCGGTTATTACGGTGTTCGAAAAAGGCCCTTATGCTAGCTACGCAAACTGTGGTATCCCTTACGCTCTCGGAAACGTTATCAAGGAGGACGGTTCACTCATTCTGCACAGCCGAAAGTATTTCAAGGAGCGTTTTAACATTGATGTTTACCTCAACACTGAAGTCACTGAAATTGACCGCACAAACGAAAGAATTAGCACAAGAACTGTCGGAGGACGAGATTCGTCAGTTCGACTACGACAAGCTTATACTATCTCAAGGCTCTCAGGCAGTTCGGCCTCCGATTGATGGAGAAGCCCAAAGTCATGTGGTAACTCTATGGACCCCCGAGGACCTCCAAGAAGTTAGAGGTCTGATGTTGAACAGAGACATCTGCAATGTATGCATCATCGGCGGTGGGTTCATTGGCCTTGAAGCTGCCGAAAACCTGCAAAAGGTGAACTTTGAAGTTTCAATATTTGAACAATTGCCACATGCCTTGCCTCCTGCGGATGCAGATATCGCAGAGATTCTCCACGCCGAGCTCAAGCGCCACGGGGCAGACTTATTCCTTCATGATGGCGTAGGGAGAATCGAGAGGTCTCACGTGGTCCTAGCTAGCAACGGGAGAGATCCCGGCCGAGTTGGTTATTCTCGCGGTCGGGGTGAGGGCTAGAACATTGCTAGCAAAGCAGACTTGTTTGGAAGTCGGAACGCGTGGTGTCAAGGTTGATATACATATGCAAACTTCCGACGAAGATATATACGCCGTGGGGAATATGGCTGAGACGGAGCATATGATCTTGAAATAGCCTAGCATCGTTGCTTTGGGTGGACCAGCAGATCGGCAAGGACAACTCGCAGCTGACGACATATCCGGCAAGTTGGTGCACTATCGAGGCAATATCGGCACGATCAAGGCAGTCTTTAAGAACACGGGGCGAGTTTGGGGAGTACAAGCAGTGGGGAGAGCAGGCGTGGATATGCGTATTGATGTATTGGCGACGGCCATACAAGTTAGAATGACGGTCTTCGACTTGGAACATCTTGAACCTGGGTATGCGCCACCATACAGCTCGGCCAAAGATCCAGTCAATATGGTTGGGTTTGTAGCATCCAACGTGATGCGTGAAGACTACCGAGTCGTACACGCCGGAAGATCTCAACATGAAGAAGTTGAGCGATTGGCAAGTCATAGATGTTCGATCTGCCGAAGAATTCTCGACGGGGCACCTTCGGAACGCAGTCAACTTCGCCCTCGATACTTTGAGGGATCGTGTAGCCACCCTGAATAAGTCAATTCCAGTACTTGTGTACTACTACGTCTGTTATCGCGGATACTACCGAATTCTTAGCCAGAAAGGATTCAACGTAGTAAATTTTGATGGTGGGCGGAAGGCAGTCATTGATGCGGGATTTAACCTACAACATTCTTGAACTCTCCTTTCTAGGCAAGTCATTACTTATACTTTGTGATTTTCACATCAAAATGATCGGCGGGTGGATATTGTATAATGGGTATATTGGGAGACGGCGGTTGAATCTAGAACCAGAGACCACTACCCGGTGTGTAGTTTGCAGAGGAAGAATAGGCTATAAATAAAGACATGTTTTTCTTATCAACATTATCACGAGAATAAAACAGGTGTATAGTGGCGTATTGACGTGCTTATGGCGTTAGAAACAGTGGAAGTTTATAGGCAGCTCCTCTATATTTATCCAGTATAGCTCACTGCTTTTTCTGTATACAACTTGGTTACCGGACCTCAGTATTCGTACGTGACGGGGTTGTTGCCGCTCCATGCCATTTGCCATTCCGTCCATGCATGTCTCATAGCCCTCAACTCACTACTTAGAAGGCAATTTTCAGTATGCAGCGCCAATAGCCTACGCCTAGCAAGTCGTAAAGTCGATCCTTTGCTCTGGTTCTTGGCGCCACAGCCTGCGAAACCTGCGGACATCATATCTTTCTCGCTTGTACAATCTGCAAGCGCATCGAGCAGCAGTTGAAACTCGTTATTCAACCTGCTGCGATAATTCTTCTCCACTTGGTTGTGACAACCCCCCAGCCGATCATTTCGATGATTTTTTTCATCAGCGGCAGGACTGTTATTGGAACATCCGTCATCGTCATCCAAATTTGTGTTGCAAGCTGCTCTCTTGCGACGTTTTCTTGGCCGTCTGTCTTTCGTAAGATGTACCTCGGTGGAATCCATAGCTGTGGACATGGAGCCAGACCTCTGATTATTAGAAGATTGTCTCAGATCACTTTGATCACAAGGCTCTTGCCTTGGTTTGAGCAGCAGTGCCTCTTCATGAGGTGAGGCATCGTTGGAGTTGGAACAAGTAGAGGGCTCCAATACTGGTGCGGGCTGACAGTGATCTAAAGGCAGATCAGGCACCAGGTAAGGGTATGGTAGGCTAGGAAATTCGTCCGTCTCTTGGCTGAACTCCGAGCCGGATCCCTTTACGCATGGGCTGACACTCTCCTTGCCGGCGTTGAACGGGTTTGAATAGGAGACTGGCGTGGAACCAAATGCCTCGTTGTGTTGATATGGATACTCGTCCTGGTGTGAGACGTAAACATGGGTGCCCCAGGCAAAATACTTATGGACAGGATCCGACTGTCTTACCGACGAGGTATTGCATTCACCCATGTTTCCCAGCCAAGTGAGGCCAGCTTCATTGTCTATCCAATCCACATCCATCATTTGGCATGGGAGTGTTTGGTCGGTGTCTTTGCCGGCGCAGACGAATATCCTGGAACTCGACTTCACAGCTCGAGTATCGTACCAGCTATCATTATATTTTGCGGTCGAGCTGTCTCTGCAATGGCGGAGAGTTTCGCAATCATTTATATTTCAACGCTAATGTAAGTGGCGATACTCGGCCAACATCAGGACGAACTTGATTGATGCCGGGGCGGACCCAGACGCAACTACCCGCTGGTTCCCGACGTGCTAAAGGTCGAAAAAAAAAGCCCGGTGGTTCGACTTCTTCACATGGACCACCACTCACAGGTAGACCTATTACTCCAGACTATGTGGCGTCCGGGTCCAGAACTTTAACCAAGTTCCAGACTCTGCCCCAGAGTTTACACACCTCTACCACTGCATCTTCTCAACCCCATGTGCAAGGCTCTGCAAGCCGATTTGCCTTGCCCCAATATCTATAGATGCCGACACTAAGAAGCAGACAATCCTGGCGTCTCACCTGGAAGTAGATATTCGAGACTCGTTGGACGTTGTCGAAGCGTCTCATTTGAGAGCTTACACTCTTCTGGGTTAACCCTGCACCGTGCTTACTCGTCCTTTAGCATGGCTTCGGGTGCCAAGGAATCACCAAGGGGGCTATTGTCAGAAAAGCATGCTTCAGTTATCATTTCCTATCCTGAAGCCTCTTTACATGTCCACCACGTACAATTATAGGCAATCAGTATTTGCCCACTCGGTGGCGTATAATGACACGGAGGTGGGACAGATAATGCTTCATGCCTCCCACTGTACAGGCCGAAATGGCGGCTACGATTGCGATGGCACTGTTACGTAGCACATTTCTCCTAGAACTGTCCGATGTCTTCTACAAGCGATGAACGGGAAACTCCGACGAAAAGACGACGAAGCAAAAAGTATATTCAGAGGTAATATGAAATCCCAACTCCTGGTATTCATCTTCTAGCACTCCTTCCTCTTCACACGTGTTTTTTTATGATGAAAACGCCAGACATATTATATACAATGAAGACGAGCTTATTTCCAACTCAAGAAATTTAATATGTTTGTCCTTGGGTCAGGGTGGCCTTTGAATGTTTTCTGTCTGGAAGCTTCACTCTCCGGTGTATTATATGTAGCGAAGAAGCGGTCCATTGTGTTGGACTTGGTGACGAGCTGAGACCGAACATAGGTGGCGACGCCAAGCGCTAACACACCATATACGTTAGTAAATAGCCCGTTATCGAGATGGTGATGCGGGAGGACGCAGAGGAGACCAACCTGAAGTGCCAAACATGAGTCCCAGCAATGGTTTGCGGAAACGGGTGGTGGCGACGGCTCTAACTGGAGCAGACATATTGAGGCTTGAATGTTATATAACGGTGTATTAGGGTGAATATGTCTGATGAGCTCGGCGTATGTGACAAAAAAAGGGTCGTTTCCAGATGTGGATTACGCTGTAAAGAAAGAGGAATCTTTGAGTAGTCTTTGAGTCTAAAGTTACTGCATGCAGAGAAAAGATGCATTCTGGAACCTGTAATCGTCGAAATACTTATATCTGAATGCAACCCTGAGGATTCCGGCCGGAGCCCGTTGAGTCCGCTGCACACGAGGATGGTTTGCGGCTTGCTCCGGAGTGGAGACAACAGTGGTGTGATGCAACGCTGCGTAGCCACGCCGGGTGGTGTGACACAGCGACGAATCTTGGCGAGCTGCTTCTAACTTGAGCGCCCTCCTCTCAGCTCCAGTACTATTCGAGTAAGGCTCGGGGGCCGATGAGCTGAGAACAAGTCGTCTCGAGGCGCGCCTTGGCTGGCGTGCAAAGCGCCCATGTGAACGGAGCGAGGCAGCGAAATCGAACGACATGTACAAAATGTTGCCAAAGTCAGCCAACACTTTCAGGCACGCCACCGAGGACGACCAACCCACGTCCCGTCTGCAACAGCCACTATCAGCATCGTGCTCAATTCTGAAGCCACTGGAGTCGGCCCCGTAGCCGTCTGACTCCCGACTGCCGAGCAAGTCGGCCCACGCACCATGCTTTTCCAACCCTTCTTGGCTAGCCCATCGTGGGCAAGGAGTAGCGTGTCAAAAACAGCAATTATATGACGTATGGTGAACAAAGATGTTGCCGGGATCGAGGTGCATCAAGGCCAAGACGTCAACGCATGGCTTGTTGCGGTCGTGTTTCCAATGCGACGATTGTAGACTGGCGCTTCTGTCAAGGTCCGGGAAGCATGGGCATGCGGGACTTTCGGCGGATTTGGAACATCCCTGCACTGTCGCTCTGTTCACGTCTCTCTTCCCTGGCTGCATGATTAATCTTGGTGTTCAATGCGTATGCCCCGGTTGTAGGATGTATCCGTACTGTCCATACGATTACCATGTGCTCCAATTAGATAGACATCCAGGATAGTCATACGTGCCCAACAGGCATATTCAGGGCTATCGACGGGATGGGACCAGCGGCAGCCACAGCCGTGCGCCATGGCCCATGACCATGGGGCGGTCTTGGCTCTTTTCGAGACATGTCGCCATTATTACTTCGTATGCTTCCTGTCGTAGGTCAAAATGAAGTCTTTTGCATCGGGATTCGACCTGGACGTCAAATCCAGCGACCATCAATGACTTTGCCTTCGCTTTAAAGCCCTCGACTGGTCTGCAGAGAATTTCGCGCAGAGCAGATGGCTGTGACCACAGAAGAAGTCACTCAAATAAAGTCAAAACTATGCGACTATGCGAAAGGGAATGCGGTTGCACGATTGAAACATGGGAAGGAGCAGAAATCCGGGGCAGCGGAGGAATAATATCGCCGACGCTTGCTTACTCTTTGCCATTCTGACCTGAACTAGGAGAGCCAGGTCGGGTCAACAGAGCAGCAAATTACCTCCCCGTTGCGCTCGACGACTTTTCTACCACCTTTCCGCCAGACATCAACAGCTCCGATTTTTTCGTCGGGAGTCATTCATCGCCGTCGCAATGGCTACTTCTACCACTTTCTTGGCGCAGGTCGCCACTGAGAAGGAGCTCGAAGGACTTGCCCTCTACTCTCGCTTCGCCTTTGCTGGTACTGTTGTTCCCTCACCCACGGCGCCTTTACGCCGGATGATGTCTATGTCCCATCACAATCTGTTACGACTATCGACTATCTGCGAAGCACTGACCATTTCCCCTCAGCGTTGAAACGAGGATCCAGCTTGACCCTGCCACCCACAACCGTGGAATGATGGGTGGGTTTCGACAAGTCATCCAAGACGAGGGTGCTGGTGCTCCTTGACAGGCATTGGCCCGACCTTCACTGGATATTTCGTTCAAGGAGCCTTTAACTTCGGGGGCTACGAGTTTTTCATGCAGCAGAAATAATCTCCTTGGTATTGAAAAGGCCTACCAAAACCGCAGATTGAGAGAACATGTCGAAATACACATCTGCCGGGCCATGTTCCAGAAGTGCCCTCGTCTCGGTTTCCACATCTCCCGACATTGTCACCATTGCCACGCGGTCTCCGGCCCCCTCAAGCACGCGCTTGAGCTTGTCGGCACTGCGTCCCATGGCAATCACCTTTGCCGCGCCCATGGCCAATGCCACGAGGGTCGCTGTGCTGCCAAAGTTGCCCGACGACGGAGCCATAATAACGGTTTCTCCCGGGCGAAGGCCAACATTATTGAGTCCGCCGTACAGAACCGCACCGCGAGAGTACTGATATATCCCAGGTCTTGGAGCTTGTAGCCCAGCCGCCCTGTTAGAAGGTCTTCATTTAACACGTGGACGTTTTTGGCCGGCACCTTGATCAGTTCGGCCCAGGTGCCATTTCGCCATTCGCTCGCTTATTAGTGCCTTGCTCTCCGGGGTGTTTCCCGTATGGATTCCTTGGAGGAGGAGGAGAGCGATGGTGCTGTCCCACGGCAGATGACGCCTCTCGTGTACATGAGCATGCCGAGTTTTAAGAAGCGCGCGTCTGGGGACGAGGCTGCAACGCGAAGGATGGCGTTGGTGCCGGGAACGATGGGGAGCGAATAGTTGTAGGACATCGGGTTTTCATTGCAAAACCACCCCCTTCGCGTAGGACAATGTTTGCGTTTAGAACTTTCAGGAGGAAGAGGCCAGCTACTGGTTGAGGAGTCGGGAGGTCAGCTATTGAAGCCGGCTCGGTTGCGGACCTGAACTGCAGCCCTTTAAAGGTTGGCGGCAGGTCGGCAGCCATCATGAGCTTAGGGTTGGAAAGCAAAGTCGAGGATTATTGCAGGGCAAGAAGTCATGTAGGTGAAACTGCTTGTCTAAGTTCGATCAAAAAGATGAGCATGTGAAGCCTATTTATTCTCACATTCCCCCGCATTACTTCATCGGATCTGGCTTCTGCTGGAGAACGAAGAAATATCGTGTTGCAGCTGACGCCCTCAATACTGCAAGAATGTTGGTCACCAGGAAAAAGGGGGCGTAGATGAAGCATTAGTAATGCTTAATTTATGGAGCTAATTTAGCCCCGAAGGTAGCTCGCTGCTTACAGACAAGAAAGTTGGTCACAAAATGAAACATCACGGCCCATAACCCCCCAACGGCATTGCAGGAAGAGGTGTCTCCTTTGATGCGCTTATGGTGTGAGAGTCGGACACAAGTGGAGGCAGCGGACGGAATGATATCGCCGTGGAATGAGAGCACTACTCCTTGATTTTGCACTGAAATCCGGCCGTGAAAGTTGCATGTATTAGCAGAATGTCATCAACAAGAAGTTTTGGCTTCCAGACTTTTGCCACCTTAACAGGAGCTTTTTGAAATACACGTTTCATCTCTATGGCCGACTATTCTAATCTATTTTGAAGTCTAGGTTGGTGAAAGTGCGGACACGCAGACCGATCTGTGGTGCAGGCAACATGATGCTGGCGTTTCCAACACCCGAGATAATAAAGCTGCAATTATACAGGAACTTCGAGCCGAATCTGGGCTTAGAGTGAGCTTTGTCAGGCAGAATAAACTAAAGACTCTCTTATAAAAGCATTGCCAAGTCTCTTCCAAGGCAGTCCATGTTCGGCAGTTGCTGGTTTTCTGGGCCGGAACAGAACTTGACACTACCGCTTGGACTGCCTCACCTCAAGGTCGTTTACACAAATCTTTGTAAAGCCATATTTGAAAAGACAGCATAAATAAGAATTCGTTGCTATACCCAATAAGTGTAATCTTTGGTGCCTGTCCCGTCCACGTTTCCGAAAGCACACACGATCTTTTTCTTCTCACCAGCCCTGAACAACTCGTACCAGCATGTGCATTCCGCCATTGGGCTTTGCCACCGCATAGGATCAATTTGATATTCCTCTCGTCCAACAAAGACTTGTCGTTCAATTCGAACGAGGACCTTCTAATCCAGGCGGCCACCAGACGGGCAAGTTCGGATTTCGCAAAGCTACCACCGATACGACTATGTGGTCCATGAAGGAACGTCATAAAGGCATAGTTCTGGTCGCTCCGCCGCTCGCGGCATTAGTTGCACTCGTTCCGCCCTGCTCCGGGCTCAGCCAGCGCTCAGGCTTGAACTCGTACGCATCGGGTCCCCAGAGCGTGGGATCAGTGTTGGTCGCCCACGGAACCAGCACCAGGACGGTGTCTCGGGAGATGAAGTGGTGCTGGATCATGATGTCACAGGTTGACACGCGGACAGTCTGTGCCACGGGGCTATGGATCCGCAGGACTTCACTGCACACGGCATTCAGGTACGGCAGGTTGTCGATATCGGTGCTTGCGATGTCGGTATCGCTATCAGCAGAGAGCAGGCCTTCGCGAATCTCCTTTCGGAGACGCTCCTGCATGTCGGGGTACTTTGCCATAGAGTACGTCGCCCAGATCAGCGACGATGCGGTCGTCTCGTGTCCCGCGGAGAGAAACGTCATCATTTGGTCGACCAGCGTGTCCTCAGAGAAGAGCTGGCTCCTGAGTGCAACGGTGAGAATGTCGAGCCCGGCATCTTGCTTGTTGGCCAGCAGGCCTCTCTTCTTGCGGATCAAGTCGCGGGACACGGCGCGGATGTGTGCCGAGGCCTTGTTGGCGTTCCTGACTCGACTCAGAGGAAGATTGTGCATGATCAGGTCGGGGAGGAATGCGGTGAGTCCGATGAGAGGCATATCCGCAGGAGACGGCTGCAGGAACTCGTTGCTCCTGGCTAGCGGGCTGTTTGGATCCTTGATGGAGCCAAAGTCTACTCGAACGCCTGCGAGGCCGATGATATCCGATGCGCAGCGGGCAGTCCAGGAGGAAATGTCCATCTCTGAAAGACCCTTTTCATCGCATTCGGCCGCCATTGCCTGCACTGCCTCCCGGGACTTTGACCAAAAGGGAGGATACAAGTCCTTGATGTGGCGGAACGAAAAGGCCGGCAGCATGTCCCGGCGCTGCTTCTTGTGCTCGTCTCCTTCGACTATCAGCAAGCCCCAGCCGGCGATGAAGGCGAGAAATCTGCGAGAAAATTTAGGATTCTCGAAGCTGTAGCACTTTGTGACGAGAATCTCGGATAAGGCCTGTGGTGAATTCACAATGACCATTTCCTGATTGTCATGCCACAAGACGCGGAGCATGCCGTTGTTGGGATTCTCTGTGATTCTACATACCTTCTCTTTTAGCATCGTATACATCAACTTCGAAAGAATGAGTCCTCTTACCATTTCTTTGCTAAGTAGCCTGGGCCGTACCTTCTAAGTTCGATGCCATGGCCAACTAGAGGCAATCCGCCCTTTACTCTCGGCAGGCTGCGAAGGGGTGACAGGAAGAACGGGAGATCAGGACGGTGTAAAACAGGAACATGGAGATTTGCCCAAAGTAGAGGGCAAAGAAGACTTGCAGAGCCTGGCCATTGCGCTCATATAAGTGCAGCAATTTTGGTACGGCACAGCCAACGAGGCTGATGCCAACCCTATACTTGAGCGGAATGTGCCGTATACCTGTCATGTTGGGTACGCCTCTTGGCAAAGCATGCAATTGCCGGTTAGTGTCAGACTGGGAGGTGCAGTGCCGTGAGAATGCAAATACCAGACGTGCAAACGATGCTAGATGTAGGCACACACGAAAATGGACGGTGTTGTCTGCGGGGCGGGGCTTCGGGGACCGGCGCCTCATGTTCCGCTCCGGCTCCGGCCCCGAGCGTTGCGTGTGTGTGCGAGTTGAAACGCACCCCGGATTTCTGCAAGGGTGTCTAGTAGTCTATGAATCCCGCCTCTCATGCTTCCGTCGGGGTTCAGGTGTGAAGGACGATGCCATGATCCCATCGCCGCCTAATGACAAACATTGACTTACCAGCTATTGGTTGTCTGTACCTTGACATGCTAATCAGTCGTTTCTTGACTGCTTTACGACGACCCCAGACATGAGCCATATCGCACAATCACATGCAAATAAATTCATCAGGGGCAGCAAATTACCATGTTCTTGATTTACAATGTTGTAGATGAATGAAATATTACCAAGGAAGAATTGACAGGGTTACACGACCTAGATGTATTACCCGTCAGTGAGTAATAACCCCCGTTGTTGCCAACGAGTAGCTTTCTTCACGCACGAATGTATAGAAACCAACCCTAACCCTGAAATGTGCTTGTATACACATCTGCTGGGAAGTATCGTACATATGAGGCAACTAACAGCTTCAACCATAGAGAATGTGTCAAAAATAGTAGACTGCAATTGTGCGCCTCCATGAATTTTGATTTTTTTGAAAACATAGATTTTTTAGTATAAGTCGTGCGAATTGTGAGCGTAGCAACTTATGTCGTTCCCCGCCTCATGGTGCACTTTGCGACTTGGCAGCCCTTTGCAGACATGGGGCTAATGTGCGACCATAGATGACCTGGAGGGTTGCCCAGGGGATTGCATACCCTATGGCAGGGTCGTTCGCCATGATGACCGTAATAAATCATCAAAATGGAACAACCCACGCGAAGTCCTCGTAGAAGCTCTAGCTAAACCGACGGAAACTCCTTACTCAACCGACCCCACAACCTCATCTCCGCCCAGGGCGCGCCCTACATTGCAGGCTCAGGGCTGCATGGCCGCAAAACCCCATCCAACTCAAGCGTCAACAGAATGGAAAGGGGCATCGTACATAAAAGCCCACCAAAAACCATAACCTCGCACAACGACACGCCATCCAAGCGCCGCCATGCAGCCTACCTTTGCAGAAACAGCCGCCCAGGCGGTCCAAGCACGGAACCGCATCCGCGGCCACATCTACCAAACGCCCGTGATCCCGTCCCGCAAGAACAGCGACAGCAGCGGAACGAAGCTCTTCTTCAAGGCGGAAAACTTCCAATACACCGGCTCCTTCAAGCTCAGGGGCGCCATGTCCAAAATGTCGGCCCAGCCGTCCGGCCACAGCCAGCGTCTCATCACCGCATCCTCGGGCAACCACGGCATCGGGGCCGCGTGTGCGGCGCACGCGCTCTCCAAGAAGCTCACCGTTGTGCTTCCGGAGGCGGTGGTCCCCGCGAAGCTGCGCAAGATCCAGTCGTACGGCGTGCAAGTGATTCTTCACGGCGCCGAGACGGGTCTCGCCGAGCAACACGCCCAGAAGCTCGCCGCCTCGGGGGAATATACCTACATCTCGCCTTACAATGACCCCGACATCGTCGCCGGCCAGGGAAGCATTGGGCTTGAGATCCTGGAGCAGTGTCCACAGGTGGACAACATTTTTATATCCATGGGCGGCGGGGGTCTCATCAGCGGCATTGGGTCCGTCTGCAAGGCGTTCCATCCCCAGACCAAGATATACGGCGTTTCGGCAATCAACTCCATGGCCCTTGCGGAGTCGATGAAGGCGGGCAAGGTGGTGGAAACGGAGCATCTGGATACGTTGGCCGAGGCCGTGGCCGGCGGCATGGATGAGGACTCCATCACGCTTCCACTGGCTCTGTCTGTGGTGGACGAGGTCGTCGAGTGCAGTGAAGATGACATCGTGGCTGCCTTGAAGTCGATTGCGTTGGAGGAGAACATGATTGTGGAAGGCTCCGCGGCGCTTGCGCTCGCTGGCTACAACAGGGTCGCTGACAAGGTTGCTGGCCAGACGAACGTTGTCGTCTTGTGTGGTGCCAATTTTGATCAACAACGCCTGCTCCGCCTCATCTTTGGGCAGCAATTCTAAGAATACTGACATGTCTTTGTGTGAGGCCTGTTGGGCGTACTTTATCTAACGTACAAGTTGGTCCATTTGCTAAGCTTGCTTTCGCAACTTGTCAAGATCTTCTGTCGCCTTCACCAAGTCGGCCTGCAGGTCGTGAGTCCAAATCCACTGGAACCTGCCCTTTGCGCTGGCCACAATCTTGGCTACATCATCTCCGCACTGCGGATGTGTCATGGTATACAGGAGCCCCGTGTCGTTGCTTGTCCGGATGATTTCTTGAGCGCGGGGCCGACATATGGAGTCGTAAACCTCCAAGGCGGCAGGCATCTCTTGGTCGTCCCTAATCTGGCCCAACAGGTGAGATAGAATGAGAGCATCCTCGAAACACTGCCCGGCTCCCGCGCCCTGATGCGGAGTTGAGGCGTGAGCCACGTCTCCGAGTAGCACAATACGTCCATGGGTGTAAGTGGGAGTGGAAAGATGGTGAAAGAGTCCCCATCTCAACGGTTTAGCCCACTTTCAAGGAAACAGTTAGCAAGAAGATGGGGCGTGGCTCGGGAACAAAGGCCAATCTCACCTCCAGCAACTCTAGTAGTCGTCGGTCACAACCATCAAAGTCATTGCGCATGTCTTGTCTGCTCACTTCCCGGGTTGAATGTGCATGCGTCCAAGGCTCATCATCCTTCTGCCTCCCTGCCAGAAAGTTGAAGCCGCCCCCCGATATGGGATATGCTGCGAAGTATCTGCCCTGGCCTATGAAGATCTTGCTGTCGTCTGCATACTTTCCCAAAATCTCTTGTACCTTGCCTGGAGGTACTACGCCTCGATAGACATAGCGACCGCTGTATGTCAGCTGGACCTGGCCTGGAAACCGGTGTTCCAGGACTGCCTGTCGGGTGATGCCTTTTCCGCCGTCACAGCCAACGACTGCATCGAATTCGGCAACCTGGCCGTCTTCAAAGCTCACCTGAACTTTCTTCCCAACCTGGCAAACACTGATGGCCTTGGATCCGAATTTGATACAGTCGTTTCCTGGAAGCAAACTTTTCATCATTCCCAGTAGGTCTTTTCGATGGGCGCCGCTCCTCACAAAATCCTTTGACCCAACTGCGGCACCATGGAACCCTCTCGCCGCACCGAATCCAGGCTCAGCAAGTAAGATATCTGCAAAATTGTGCTGTTTCTCAGGAGACTGGTTTTTCATGGCTATTTTCTCATAGCCTTCCCGCAGCGCTGGATCGATGAGTGCCATGGCCCGCGTCGTGTTGGGACCAAGACTTATGCCAGCGCCGATGGCGTTCAGCCCCGGTGCAGCCTCGTATATGGTGAAGGATACGTCTCGGTAGTTGAGGCCGATACCAAGCGCAAGACCAGCGATTCCCCCACCAATGATGCCAACGTGCAGTTTTTCGCATCCCGGCTTCATCTTGCGTGTCCCGGCCGTCATACCATGGCCGCAGTCTCCGCACCAGGACTTGAGAAGTTGAGAGTTGGATTCTCGGAGGAGGGGTAAGCTTGGTCGCGTTCCAGAAATGGGTAAAGCCCGAGTCGGTGCATCCTTGACCATGAAGGCTGGACATCCAGTTCATTAATTTTCTGGTTAGGCATCATGCGAAGCCAGGCGAAAGCAAATTGGCGCCCGTAAACTTTTGAATTTGCAAAGCAGAATTGCCGCGCCTCGGGATATTGGCGCAAATACACGCCGGGCGAGAAGAGACATTTTTGCGACGAATATGCCCAACAGTGGAACAGACAAATTGGCCGGCGAGTGTTCTACGGGGGAGCAGATATTCCTCAAGTCCGAGTATGGATATTTGCTCACAATGACCCTTGACACACACAAAATGCTGTGCTTCATGGAAGACGCGAATGACAGGGATCCTTTAAATCTCCTTGGATCGAATAAGCTATTTGATGAGTTTGTGGACCAGTCTCACAAGCTTGAATTGATTAGCCAGTAGTGCAAATATGGACCGGTGACTTGTTAAATTGTCGGATTGCGTCAATCAAGATGAACAGACCACGGTCAAATAGAATGTGTCTCAGTAGTCTGTCATTTGCTGAGCTGGGCACACTATTTCAAGTCGATGAACAGAACAATAAGCACGACCACCATTTTTCAACAGCCATGCCACAATACACCACTTTGCATTGTATAATGTATGATGCTAGCAGAAGACAAATTTTAACCCGATGATATGTTTCACACCTCTCCCGTCATATGCAATACCAGAACCCAATCCCACACACAAGCCATCTATAAGTCTAAAGAGAAGGCAATAAAATTCATGATGAACATTCAATGCATGAAACTTGAGTGTTTTGTTTTAAGAGCCGTTATGGAGAGGGTGATGGCCGCAGTGTATCCAGATACGTATGGTGACGAAATGCCAAAAGTGCAAGCTCATCTCAACTCAAACTCTTCGTCGCGCCGTCTGAACAGTAACTTCAACTTCGGGTTGATCC